GGGAGCATAGAAGGCTGCTAGTAGGGCACTGCCTCCACCTTCCCTCCCTGGTTGGGTCCATATGGTGTTTTCAAGATGTCATATTGAGCTCAGCAACACCTCCTCCGCTTTCCAGGGACAGCTGTGTCCGCCCTGCCCTGTGGCCGCTTTCCCTTCCTTAGATGGGGTCCCCACTTCTCCTGAGAGGCCTAGAATGGAGTGTGGTTCAGGAAGCCTATCCCAACATCTTCGGGATCCCATGGACATCCATTTATAGCCAGTGGCCTCTAAGACTTGGGAGAAGGGGTGTGACTGATAGTTCTAAGATTCCTTACATTTAAATTTAAAATTTTAAACTTAGAGATTCTAAGATTTTGTTATTACAAAGGCCAGGATCCCAAGTACAAGGAGCTGCCATGACCCAGTGGGATCTGCCCAGGTCCCTGACCCATGCAGGCCTCTGGCGGGGAGAAAGTTCTGGACCTTATGCTGACGTGAGTGGTGATGGCTTGGGCGCTGGCTTCCGGCTCTGCCAAAGCCTTATTTGGAGTTTCCGCTGCGCGTGGGGCGGGCGTGAGACTGGCACATAGGGAGCTATTCAGGGATATTCTCCATCCTGGTTATTTTTAGGGCCTGACAAAGGGGAGCCTGCAGCTTCCTGATGCTTTAAGAGGTGCCAAGTCACAGGCCTGGGATCCCAGAAGGGCTCTAGCAAGCTCTGGTGGGGAAATGAAGGATCAAAGGGAGATGTCTGAGGCTGGGCAAGGAGGGGGCCTGGCCTCCTGCCCATGGTCAGCTGGGAAGGCCAGTGAAATGAAGGGACTTGCCTGCCTGTGCACTGTTGCTAGGGCCTTGACTCCTTTGGGCTCTTAGTGGGTGTTTCTAGGGTGCAGAGTGAAGGATGCACAGAGAGGAGGTTACTATGAGGCCAAAGCCCAGGGACACCCCCCCAACCCTCCCCAGGAATTAAATACCTCAGAGACAAGACATGGCAGGGATCTGGGCAGGGTAGCCAGTGCTGTGAGATTTCACACCTATCAGAGGTCTGGTGAGTGGCCATGCCTACCCTGGTCACCTGCCAGGTAGGCATAATACAGGGCACAATGGTGGTACTTTATCTGGGGTATGTTGGGTGAGCTGCCAGCTGTTCTGTCACTTTCTTGGCACTCAAGAAGCATGGGAAGGTGGTAGCTCTCCAGAACTAGAGGTGGGCAACACATTCTAGACTTAGACCTAGGGTGTGTTATGCAGGGCTGGTCGTGCCAACCAGCCAGTGGAAGGTTCAGGAAGAAGTTCCTGAGCAGGCAGCATGTTGTCCATTTGCTCTGGAGGTAAGCCCCAAAGGAAGCAGTGCCTGGGGGTCCGGATTTCTTCTGGGATGAGGTAAGGAGGACCCTGGGCAAAATTAAAGAGTGGGGGCTCCCAAATGCTCACAAGCAGCCCAGACACTGCAGTGAGAAGCAGCCTGTCAGGAAGGATTGAAGAACAAATCTTCTGAGGGCAACAGGAATCCTCATACTACAGGAGGGGACAACTAAGTTAGATGTGAGGAAGGACTTCCTGACAGCAAGTCTGTTTGCTCGCTCTAACCAGGAAGCCAGTGAAAGACATGGTTGTGAAGGGCTTTACTGTGAGGGCTGTAACCTGTCTAGAAGCAAGGCCACTCTGGGAAGTGGTTGGGGGGACCTCATTAGCCCCCACTCCCTCTTTCAGAACTATTTTATCGGTACCAGGAAAGGGGATGAGCAGGTGGAGCCAGGTTAGAAAGAGCCTCCTCCAGATCTCAGCAGTGTGTGTGCTGACAGAAAAGCACAGTATCCGGCAGCTGTAACTCCCATTGGCTCCATGCCCCAGCTGACTCAGAGACTCTCATCATTGTCCTTAGGTGCCCTTCCTTCCAAACACCCATCCTCAAGTCCCCAGGTCCACAGAAGCAGGAAGCGAATGACTACAAGATCTTCATTTCCAATCCCTCAAGCACCCATCACCAGCAATGGAGACTGGTGTTTTTTTGTTTTTTTTTTGTGGTCCTTGCAGCATCAAAATCACTCTCCACCATGACTACAACCACACCTATGACCATGACCACTATCACCATCACCACTACCTTGATCACCGCCATCACACAAATTTCCAGCTTTAGCTCTATCCACAAAACCATTACCATCACCTTTGGCCCCATAATGTTGCTGCCCTGTCCCTAGGTCTGGCTGGTACTGATGATGGCAGGTGGAGGGGGAAGAGGAGGTGCTCTTAGCTTCACTGATGACTGTCTAGTGAGGAAGATGGAATTGGCACTGGAAGGCTTAGACAGCCCAGAGAATCTTTCAAGGGACCTGGCCAGCTCTGGGCTGTACAGGAGAAGAGGGGTTTTGGGTAGGGGAACAACCAGAGGCCTCACTGCTGCATTGGGCAAGTCACCCACTGGATGGTGTCCAGAATGAGTCAGGAGAGCTAGGTTCCAAACAAAGGGCACTCACTACTTGTGGAGCCCTGACAGCATTACTTGGGGTTTTTGGTGAGTTAATAGAGCTTCCCTGGCTGGATTCCTGCTCCGAGACAGGGAGCAGTGATTTCTATGATGGGCCATTGTGAGAGGAGGGCATAAAGCATCTGGGAGCCCCTGGCTGAGGTGGGACAATGATGTGGCCTCTAGCACAGGACATTGGGGGAGGAAGAGGAGCCAGGCTCTGACCACACACTGAGTCCCCACCCTAGAGGTTCCACAGTTTTGAGCCATTTTCCTTGAGTGCAAGTAGTGTGTGGCTTGGGCACTTTGTACTGTTTTTTATTTCATGCAGGGGTTGCTGGGACAGTTCCCAGGGACAGGGAAGTTGGGGTGCAGGTCTTGATAACCTTGGACAGTGGTGAGCTGAGCAGAACTCTACCCCCAGCCCCTCAACCCCTGGCCCAGTACTGGGGGCTTAGGGCTTTCTCTGCCTATTCCCAGGCCCTCTCAGCTTCCTGCACAATCTTCAGTACTCACTGGAAGCCCTCAGGCAGATGGGCCTGGATTGCAGGGTCCCTGTGAGCCCAGGAACATGTGCAAAGTATGTGAGGTTCTCACTTGCCTCCCTAGGAGGGCTGTGATGAGACACACATGCCTCTTTGCATGGCAGATCAAACACATGTGCACAGATGTGCAAATGAACTGTGGCATGTATGGTCTGGGCCAGATTTGATTGCCAAATGTCACATTCTGACATTTTGAGGCAGGCTGCAGAACCACTGAGCTAAATCCCCAGCCCACATTCTGACGTGTTCAGGTCAGCAGCTCAGAAACTGTGCAGATCAAAAAGCCCCTTCCTGAGATGCTAGCATCCAGTGGGCTGTGCATGACCTGCTCTGGGATGCTGGTCACACTCTATCCTCCTCTTGTTCCCATTTACTGTCTACCTATCCTTGTCAGCAGGGCACTCATACCTCTGCTCACTGGGTTGCCACACACAGCAAGCACCTTCCCAGCATCCCCACCTGCTGGTGAGGCCTCTTAGAGCTCACACTCATTCACCCCTGCAAGATCTGCAGGAACAGAGCACAGATGGGCAGAGATAGGACACAGCTGAGGTCACCTGGAAGGCTGTATGCCAGGCTACACTTTTTTCTGCTTGCTTGGCATTGTTTTTGCTTTGGATGATATGGTTGGGTGCTGGAGACTCCAAACAGTCTACCCTGCACATTCTCCTCCTGGTGCTGGCGACTGGCCTGACTCCAGGATCCAGCTCAAGTTGGGGTGTGTGGGACTTCAGGAGGGGCACAGTGAGTTCTGCCCACTGCACATTGAAGCCTAGGTTCTGCATAGAATGAGGAGCCCTCACCATGGGGATCACAGTCTGGGAAAGAGGCCCAGCTAGTATCCCCCTCCACCTCTTGGCCTCTCGGTCTTGCAGGCTACTTGAAGGGCTCAGGCTGCCCCCTGCTGGAGAATCAGAGAAGCTGGAAAAAGCTCCTCAGAGCTGGGGTGGGCTGGGAGAGGCACCCTCGGGGCATTTGTATTTGTCTCTCAAACTCACCCCATGGACAGACAGGGCCACTAGGCCTTGGGGATGTGACACTCACTGATACAAACAAAGAAAGCTGAGCCTTGTGTCCTGCCTAGCCTGGGACAGAAGAGAGGCGGGTTCTTTCCAGAAGCTTGTGCCCATGGAAGGCTGAAGGGAGCAAGTGCCACCCACTCTAAGGTCCCAGGAGCCTCACCTCATGCTCTCTTCATGCGGTTTCAGATTTTCAGTCTGTTTACTGGCCCTATCCTAACAATCGGGGAACAAGGGAAGTCAGGTGTGCCTAATGACATGGATCCCACCTGTAAGGAGGGCTGACAGGCAAGGGGTGCCAGTGTTGGAGTTCCCTAGGGTTCCCACAGCCTTGGGATGGACATGGGGGTACAGTGCTGCTGGCCTGGGGGTCCAAGGCCCAGATGTCTAGGAAGGCTACACACAGAGGACTGGGTTTTTAATTCTTTTTATTGAAGAAAAGAAAAGGAGAGAAAAAATAGATTCCCCACCCTGCTTCTTCTGGAGCGGGCTTAGTCCTGACCAGGCCAAGGGTCAGGGCTGTGTTCTCCACCTGGTTGGGGAGGGGCCCAAGGACCTGGAAGGGAGTGGGGTCTGGCTGCTTCCCAAGGGGTGGGGGAGTCTAAAAAACGGAGCCAGGCCGGTGGGCCACAGGCTGGTCCTCTGCAGCGGCGGCTCAGGTGGGCATCCCGGGGTCGCTGGCCAACCCGGGCCTGCCACTGTCCATAGCTGCTGGCTGCCCTCCCACCTGCCCGCCTGCGGGGCTCGCCCGAGGAGGGCAGAGTCTGAGGCACCTTCCAGCCTCTGGAGCCCTGTGCCTGCTGAGCCACGCCACCCCCCGTCTTGCGTC